GAGTTTATTTTCGCTCAATTTTTCAACGATAGTTTGAATATCAAAGACTAACTTTTATTTAGACATACAGCAAAATATTCAAAATTTTGGAAGTCTTTCACCAAACTGATATTTGCTTTACGATATATTACAGTATTTTTCATTTACCAATTTTTTTTGCTACATTTTGATGAATAGAATCTGCAGCGTACATTTTTACAGAGATTAGCCTGGGAAGTTTCTGGAATTAGACAAGTTTTTCGAGTTAAAAAAGCTTACATTCGAAAATTATTGCACATGGATGTTGCATGGTTAGAATCTCGACATTCTGGTCAAGTAGCCTCGATGCTACATGAGTGAGTATTTAATTATAAAATTAGCTAATTGCAAGATTACAATCTTAAAAATTTATTAATTTTTTGACAATTTTTGAATTTAACAATCTGAAAAAATTGTTGATTTTTGTGTTTTTGTTCAATACACAGAAATGACTTACTTGATCAGAATTTTGGTCTTGGGAGATAAAATTTTATCAATTTGATCAAATTAATGGGTAATTAATAAAAGTAAAGAAAGGATGAATCTCTGTTATAGCCATGCAGATTCTATTTACCAAGGCATCGCTGACCATGTGCCCATGGTCATATTTATCTCTGCATACTTACTAGTCACGTTGTCAGTTTGCTTATATATTCAGTGGGATGTAACATTAGTAATGTTTGCTTCACTACCTTTACTTATCGGAACTAGACTTATTTTCAGCAAAGTTAGCACTTTAATTAGTATTTTTAAGGTTTACCTCAATAGAATCACTATTAATTTGTCAAAATCTGTTTGCTTTTATTAAAAACTGAATTTATAAACTTATTTCAAACTATAATAAGTAATGAAGCAGTCTTCAAATCTTGCAAAAAATGATTTTTTCATAGAATTTTCCATAGATAGCACTGCTTGCTATCTTTTTTAATTTATTCAAAAGTAATTTTGTAAAATTAAATTATTGAGTTGGTTGAAAAAAGTGAGCGTCTTTATGTTTCACTCATATTTTAAGTGTTTTTCACTTCATTTTTGCATAATGTTAAAATTAAAGTAATAATAATAATAATAATAATAATAATAATAATAATAATAAT